GACCTCTGGCCCTATCAACCTGCTCCGAGTAGATTGCAGGTAAAAACGGGGTCATATCTGATGACTGCTACTATTTTACTTTTCATTCAGCCTTTTCTTTTTAGCATTTACATAATTTTAAAAGTCCTATTATTGTTATTACGTAACGGTTGTTGCTGAACTCTCTTATGTTTTCTTGAAATGGCTTGGATTTTTTTATGTGGTTTGCTTGAACCCAAAACCCGCAGCATTTCCTGGTTTGGTTGTGAAATTTAACATACACCGAAACTTAAATCAAGCTGAATGGGTGTAGTACAAATTCCTATAGTAGACGCAAATATGAGAGATGAAACGAAATGTGAGTACCGTAAAATTCCGCTTAATCGCATTTTATTTAATAGACTTAATAGAAACCTAAGCATATTGTTATAACAAACAAACAAAAATTTGAAAATGATGCTTTGAGATAGACTGAAAAACCATCTCTAGAAGAAAGCTTTCGAAACAACCCTTTGGGAAAAAAAAAAAAAAAAAGGATGGGACCAGCGACTGAGCGGTAAAAGCCTCTGAACACTGGTAGTTTGAACCGGGATTCCAATTCTAGCGAACGGACCACTTTCATGGTTTTCTTCATGTGTAACGTGAATACGCACCAGTTTCTCTTAAAACGTCCTCCCCGAGGCATTCCTCCCTTTCCCATTAGTGCCTAAAGGTGGAGCACACAATGAATAAATAAAAAAAAGTTTATAAGGTATTTCTCCCGCCTTCTTAGCATGCCTTTGTGGTGTAGTGGTCAGCACGCTCGGTGCGCATTGGAGAGGTCAGCGGTTCGAGTCCCCGCGAGTGCGTTGCTCATTTTTCCTCTCTTCTGCTTCAAAAAATACCTAATGTCTACAGTGGCGCCCGAATAAAAAAAGGTGGTGGATCATGATTCTCCACCACTGCGATTTGGCGGTTGGATCCCCTAATTCCCTTTAAAAGGGGGAGTATATAATGTACTTTTCACGCCTTCTTCGCCCTTTAAAAGGGGGGAATATATAAGGTACTTTCCTGCCTTCATAGCATGCCTTCGTAGTGTAGAGGTCAGCATGCTCGGCGCGTATTCGAGAGCTCCGTGGTTCGAGTCCAGGTGAAGGCATTGCTCATTTATCGTGTCTCCTGCTTCAAAAAAAAAAAAAAAAAAAAAAAACCTAATGTCTCTACAAGGTATGATTTAAATGGTGAATATTAAATTTATTTTAGTGCTTTAGATGTAGCAAAGATGAGAACCATTTTGCTATTTCAATTTTCCATTTTCTATTTCAATTTTGCTATTTCAATTTTCAATTTATTATTTTTTAATTGAAAAAAAATGACGAATCTATTGCAATTACTCATTAAACGGGACCGAACACACTTTATGTAAATTCTGTAAGAAAGAACATTAAGAAAAGAAACACTTATTTTATTTTAAGGAACATAGATTTGCATTGTGGTGTAAATACATCTGCATAATATGGTTATGCGATTATTTTTTTAAAATTTTGCTGTCTGATATAGTATCAATAGATTACCTAAAATAATGTTCCCTTTAATTAGGATAAAAATGCGATACAAGAAAGTTAAAAATATGACTTTAAGATATTAATTTAGGAGAGTAAGTTGTCACGGTTTTGATAACATTGTTTAAATTGTATCTGATTTGATAATTATATTTGAATTGCATTACCACATGAAGGAATCACTTAATTGTTTATATGCTAGATTAGCCAAGGTCATTTAATTTGTAGAACGATTAGGTTTTTGAAGCTTAAAATACGAAATATGAACGATACCCTCGCTAGGATTTGAATTTTGGACTATCCCGGATATGCTTCCCAAGTGTACCACAAAGAAAGATTCTCTACAAAATAACTGACATCAAATTTTGAACAACCTAAGAAAAAATTTATTTCACAATTCACTGAAACTTCTGAGATGCTGTTTCTGAGAACGTTTATTTTTGTGTTTGTTTTAAAGCTTCTTCACGCTCTTCATGCTGAAGTATAATAGATTTATCTCTATGAACCGTAGGAATGTCGAACCATAAGAACCTTAATTGATAAAAATCTTGTAAATATTTTGCAAAAGGAATTACTTAATTCCCAGCATTCTTATGTTATGTATACTGATTCATAGTTCTGGACCTAGTTCCTTGCCATTAAAATTAATTTGCGACGTTACAGATCTAGCTCATACGAGGTGATACAAGATGTTTGAACGGTCTTACATTTAAATGTGTTTAAATCCCTCAATTGCGTCTCCTTCATTTGAGTACACGTAAAATCTGAATTCATCAGACCATATGGCAGCCTTTCATTGATCAGCAGTCCATGTCTTGGAAATTTTAACCAAAAATAAATGAGCTTATTTGTGGGTTGCTGTTAACAATGGTTTTCCATCTTGGTATTTTAGTTTAGGTATCCATTGGGTGGAATTCCCTCTGTAATTAGTTGGCTTTCGTAACTAATGTATGGCGCATATTACCAACTCAATGAAGGAGTTCCTGTTTTGCTTGAAATGCCTTTTCTTTGACAAGGTGTGGGCGATACGATTTGTCAAAATTCTTTTGTTAAAACAAAATTGTTTCGTTTTATTTTCAGTCAAGGGGGATTAGTGTTTGACAGCAGTAGTAGCAGTAGAGAAGACTTTTAACAAATAACGCCCGTAAAACTCTGTTTGGCTTAATTTCAAACTCCGTCTCGTTTTTGATGTTGTGTCTTTTTGATTGACAAAACTATGAAACATTTCAACATTTGATTTTCATTTGAATTATTTTTATTTTGTGCAAATTTTTAGTTTCTGTAAAGGACTATCATTGTATGTAAAAGGAAGCATACGCTGTTATTAAAGTAATGCATAAATCTTTAAATTCAGTTTTGATTATAGGCATCGTACTTAAGATGCACATAGCTACAAAGGTCTAATACTTTTGACTGTCAGTATATAAATAAAAAATTGGCATTTTCGTATTATTGTCTAACTAACCCACATTTATTTATCATTATGTAGAGTCTCACTCGTTTTGGTAACAAACACTAAATCAAGACTTAAAGTAGACCTAAGCCACTTACAACTAATAGCTTACATTTAAACAATCTGTTTCTTTCTTGCTTTTTTGCTTTAGTTTATTTTTTGTATCCAGAATTAGTTGATGAACGATTTATATGTATATTTTTAATCTTAATAGTTAACCCGAAAACTCTGGTCTTCTCCAGGATTTCAAATTTTGGTTTTTGTAAAAGATTAGTTTTAAATTTCTATTTCTTTATGTAAATATATATATATATATATATAGATCTTCATAAGACCCTTGCTTCAATTCGTCTATTTTATTATCATTTCCGTTTTGAATTAAAAATAATTTTCGGTACTTTTACAAAGTATTAACTCTTTAAGCTTGCAGGTCCACCCATAAGTTCTTGTATATTTTGACTAATAGCATATAGCTATTTATTTTTTTCTGTACATCAGCATTTTCATTCCATTATTTATTTATTTTCTTTATTACACCTTAATGTGTTAATACAAGCGGACGCGTCGGGAAATTGGAACAGAGAATTGAGACTAAAGTTTTTGACATAGTTTATTTAATTAATTGAAAAATGTTCGCGTACAGTTTCAGTTGTCTTTTTCGGCGAAACGCGTGATGGAGTTAGCTTAGTTCAAAGTTCATTAAAAAATATTTCCCCTGACGTGCCATAGTGAACTTCGAATTGGGCTAATCGACCATTTACCTCTTCTTAATTTTATTTTTAACTCGATTAACTTTTACTATGTTTTAAATATACTTAATTAGTTTAGCATATAGTTTACTATTATTGTTGATTTTTACTTGTAAATAATCAAATGTTGTATTTTTCTCTTTTAACACATTTCATTGCAACCAATTTACTTATGTTAAAGTTTTCACGGAACCACTGTATTTATGCAGCTTTTTAGCATGCGTACTAGAATTTTTCTTTTAATTTTCTTAATTTTGCAGCACAATGAGCAAAATTTTTGACCACATAGGTCTTTAATCGTTTGTTTTTTCTACTTTACTTTAAATGATATATATATGAACACTCACCTCCCTTTACCCAGCTTAAGATTTCATAACCCGGCATTTACTTATTTAAAAGAAATTAATTTTGGACATAACGAAAATTAACTTTTACTGTAGCCCCCCATTTTTTATACTTACACTTGGAAAAGTTATGTTCTCGTTACAAAAAATAAGATAAAAAACTTTGACTCTCGTGCTAAAAGAACTAACCGGGGTATTTAATTTCCAATTTGCAACTTTTTATGTCATTTTCAGCTTGCCTTGCGGAATTGGTTAAAAAATTTAGAATAATTCGAGGAAATAAATTTAAGCGAGTTGCAGCAAAGCATGTATATAATTTAATAGACGTAAAAGGAAGTCATGTGATGTTCCCATCAAATTTTTTTCTAAGTATTAAAAATTTGATATACTGAAGGTAAGAAAATAGCACTCATTTGTCTACATTGGTTATATACTTATGCTTCAGTAACTTTCATTCTCACTAAATTACTGTTATCTTTTCGATTTGCCTTTTTACGAAGAAAGGTACTGTATTCTAAAGATTTAATTTAAAGATTTTTTTATTTCTGTATTCCTTATATCATATACTTTTGATGTTCGCCAAAATCAGATTAACGAACGTTCAAGGTATAGAAAATAGCTTTGTATAGCGTTTTATTTTCAACGCAAATAATAATTTTTGCAAAATTTATCGATCTTGTACTCACTTACTAACGTACATGCAATCTGCGTCATGTTAAATTGAAATTGTAAATATCAGTTCTAATTGTATATATGAGTCTTTTCTAAAAGCATATTAAATTCGTTTATGTACTTTTAGTAATATAAGAAAATAGATTAATCATGGAAATTACACTAATTATATCTTTTCAGGAAATGTTATGCTTGTTATCGAATGCTTTTACCTGTATCTAAATACTGTCCGTAAAATAATGTTTTATATATTTCCAAACAGTGGGACTTGGTTTGTAACGATGACCATTACAAAAGTTTCATTCTAACGATGTTCAATGTTGGAAGCATTATTGGAACTCCAATTTACGGAGCTCTATCAGACAGGTAAGAACAATATATTACATTTACTGCTAAAGTAATAATTTAAATAATATTTAGAGCTATGTTTCTGTATGAAAATGAGAAATTAGTGTTTCCTAATACTTTACATAATGTATATTAGTTGTGGTATATTGAGATTACAGCAAAGCACACTAGGGCTATCTGCATAAGAGGAGGGATGCTTTCACGGAGGACTTTCTAAGGAAAACTTTCTAAAGGTTTCACATAGGAAAAAGCATGAAAACGATCGCGCAGCCAGCCTATTCTCCTTGAATTGAACCCATATAGAAACTACCAGTGTTCAGTGACTTTACTGCTTGGCCCCTAGTGGGCTCACGTTACATAATCAATTATTAAGATATTTCCAGTAATCCCATTGATATTAATTTAAGAGGAAAATTTGGGTGTGAAATGGAACGGTAGATTACTACGATAGAACGGTAGGCAACTCTTAGTGTGAAGTGGCCCACCAGGGGCAGAGCTGTATCGTCGCTGAACATTGGTAGTTCGGTCTGATGTTCAAATCCCGCGAACATGCTGGCTGCAAGGGCGCTTTCGTGGTTTTCACCATGTGTAAGGTGCATACAAGCCAGTTTCCATTAGAAAGGTCCTCCACAAATGCATCCCTCCCCTTAGAGAGTTAGCCCTTGAGGCTTTGCCGTAATCACATAAAAACAAACAGAACTCAGATAGAAGAACTGAAATGCATAGTTACTTTGTTATTTTACGCAGGATAGAAGGAATGCAAAAACTATTTATTTCAAATGAAAATTCTCTTCCAAAATATTTTGATTTTTTTAAATAAATGCATTTACGAAGGCGTATCTTAATTACTTCCTATTACAAGTTGCGATAAACTGGAAGTTATATCAATTGTAAGTTACGTATACAACAGACACAATCAAAAATACAATCACAACTTAGAAATTACTGCTTCAGAATTGCTACAAATTGCTTATATTAAGAATTAGAATTGCTTATATTAAAAATATTAAGAATTAGAATTGCTTATATTAAGAATATTAAGAATTAGAAGAAGATTAATAGAAGATTATTCTACACTAGTTTAAGCACTGTATAGGAGAAGAGTTAATCTTATTAAATTACTCTAACTTTAAAAACTAAATCATTATTACTTTATTATAGTTGTATTATAAATTATACAAAATTTTCCAGATTTAGAATAAAAACCAAACTACAAGTCTGCAACCATAGATTTTTAATATCTGCTGCCTTGATGAAATCCCATTTTGAAATCTTTTCATTTTACTATTTAATATTTTCATATGTGTTTCTATTTATACATTTCATATTACTACTTTTCATTTACTACTATCATTTGGCTTCTTATTTTTCACTTTTACTAAAATTTCATTTCTTTCATTTATAACTAATACTATTATTTCAAAACTGTTTAGATTTGCATGATAAATTTTGTATTTTTTATGCCATTTTATTTGTTAACTACTTTTTTTTAAGAGCTATACCTTTTTATTTAGTAGTTTCTCTATATTCATTCAAAACCAAATCTTCCATTGAGATTTGCTTCTACGTGCCTGCATGATAAAAAGATTTCATCACTAAACTCAAATAGAAACAAAATACCGAATTTGACTTGATGTAAGTGCTGATCTCAGACTTCAGGTTTCCAGCATACATCCAAATATAGAACAACTACACAAGGATCTGTAGTCTCATCCATCTTATTTATATGAGTTGTAGAATCTCACATGTTTTGGTAATATACATCAAATCAAGACTCCAACATAGATTAAAAAGACTTATCGCTATGTCTAGATAAGCAAAAATAAACGTATGAAGGGTGTAAAAAAAACCCTTTCATTTAAAACTAAGTAAACTGAACAGAAAGCACACTTGGTGCTTACAACTCAGCCAGCATTTATGGCAGGAGCTAAAATGTAGACTTTTAATTAAAACTAAATCTAAGTCTTTATTAGCCAAGATCTACGCAGATATAATGAAATGCGTTTATCCTACACCGGCGTGATAGCACTGTCGGCGAGATTCAGCAGGTTGAACACGCTCTGATTAAAACAAATTTCAAACCCTCACACGCGAGATAATTTGTATTCTGGCAGAAAATGGAAAGAGGTAAATGACACTATAGATTCGGAAAGTAAAAATAATTGGTTAATTAACATAAATAAACCTTACACATTAACTACATTTATTTAATTTTTGGCTAATAAATTTTTGCATTTATTTAATTTTGGGCTAATAAATTTTTGCATTTATTTAATTTTTGGCTAATAAATTTTTACATTTATTTAATTTTGGGCTAATAAATTTTTTCATTTATTTAATTTTTGGTTAATAAATTTTTACATTTATTTAATTTTTGGTTAATAAATTTTTACATTAATTTGGGCTAATAAATTTTTGCATTTATTTAATTTTGGGGCTAAATAAATTTATAATTTATTTAATTTTTTAGCTATAATAAATTTTTACATTTATTTAATTTTGGGCTAATAAATTTTTTCATTTATTTAATTTTTGGTTAAAAAATTTATACATTTATTTAATTTTTAGCTAAAAATTTTTTACATTTTTATTTATTTTGGGCTAATAAATTTTTTCATTTATTTAATTTTTGTTAATAAATTTTTACATTTATTTAATTTTTGGCTAATAAATTTTTACACTCATTTAATTTTTGGCTAATAAATTTTTACATTTATTTTATTTTTGGCTTTAATATTTTTGACTAATTAATTATACTTTAAAACTATACTGGTAAAAAAAAAACATGCTAAGAAGTTGCTGGCGAAAAGGACAAGAATGAGCTGGTCCTCAGAACATTCTGATTCAGAAAAGTGGTTCCCACTTGAAAAAAAAGAGAGAAACGCTGCTCTATCTCATTCTGAATATTCGAAAGCATCACTGGTGCCAACTAGTTCTATCATTTTCGTAATGTAGGCACGAAAATATAAAAGAGGTCAAGTCCGTTCCGTGCCAGTGTTTCCAATGAAGAAAACTTTAGAGCACTTCTTTTCCAACCGTATAAACCACGATGCAATAAACACATTAATTTCGGATTCCTGGACACCCTGAAATTCTAAATGGAAAACATGTATTTTAAACAACAAGACCTTTAGAAACTGTAATATGCTTATAAAATGTACAAAATAAATGGACTTAGAAAACGATGCTGAAAAAAGGCGACCTCTTTTTTCAAGCAAGTAAAAATAATTTAATTTATAGAGATTGTAAGGTTTTTCACTCCTTTAGTCTTAAGATAAACGTTGAGGAAACTAGTGAACTGTTCAGGACTTATCGCTGAGTTCAAATAAATAAAGCTGTAGACTCAAGAAGGGTTCAACTACCTTTTATCTTCCTGAAAGTAAGATAACAGTCGGCCCATTTCTCGGACTTAAACTCAGAATGAGAAATAAGAAATAAACTAACTAAGAGAGACTCAGTCGAAGCTAAATATCTAACGTAGTTGGCCCTTAATTTAAACTAGCCGGCGAATATCAAAAGGCAGTAAGAATACAGCCGAGCGTAACATCTTCAAGAGAGACTTCTCCCGAAGGCAAATACTCACTACTCTGGATTCCTAACTCTCTCTCACGAAGTAAATTGAACTGAACCTTCCTTAAATACTTCTTCTAAATTATTTGCATTCAGTGCGATTCTAGAAATTCATTCTGGTAGGGAGTTGTAAGTGAAAACAAGAATAGATGGGAAAGTTAAAATAACTTTCCCATCTATTCTTGTTTTCCAAATTAAAATAACTGTTATAAAACGAAAATTTACCTTATAAGATCATAAGAGTTAAAAAAAACAACATAAAAATTTTGCATAAAAAAGAACCTAAAAGAGCCTTGTAGGATTCCTCACAGTGTAATGCTGAGTTACTGTTGAACGTGAAGAATCTTAAGAACTGATAAGCGAATAATGGCTTCAGTTCGTGAGACAGGAAACAACAAGATGGAAGGGTAAAGTAACCCTTTATTATTCCAACTAAAGTTTAACAAACTCCGTCTTGGAGTGTACAATAAAGCCGTCACCTGGGCTTTAAACTTAAGAGACTAACAGTAATACTAAACTAATCTTAACTAAAGAGATATATCAATATTCTAACCGAGTTGGCCCCTTAACGTTAATAGACTGCGAAGCTATCAAGGGCCTAAAGTACAGGACAGGACAGGACTAAATGTGGAAAGCACCAACACATCGCCATAGGCAGAACTGGTGTCGCTTCTTCACACTAACTGTCTTGAGATGAACACCTCCACAGGGTGTACTTACGCCACGCATCGGTGTTAATTGAAACGTTAATCATTAGGGCATAGAGAACTAGTAGTACGGAGCATGGCCTGGAGATACAGTTGCTGACGACAATGACATTACAATACAATACCATGCATAACAGTTGATGGCGAAATTATAAATATAAATATATGTACACAAATAAACACAAATAAACAAATAGAATTGAATGGAAAAACATTAAACATTATTATCTTGGCTAAGTTACTGTAATATTAATGTGATGTTTTTAGGACAGTGTAGCAGTTCATAGATGGTTCACAGTTCATTGACAGTTCATGAAAAGTTTGTGGATTGGGTCAGAGTTCATACAGAGTTCAACAATTCCAGTTATGCCATTTTTGATATGCATAACTGTGATCGTATTGTCTAGGTGCTAAATATGTACTGACCTTGATACACTAAGATAAACTATTGCAATGACTATAAAGGCACCCCCATTGGAAAACTGGCCTAAAGTACGGCCGAGCGTAATAATAGCTTATGAGAGAGTAGCCTAAAAAGGCGAACGCGTGCAGACAGAATACCTGGCATCTCTCTCTCTAAGACCGAAGAACTTCGCGGCTAAATACCGCTCTTCCTCATTATGTATTCAGACGTGATTCTGAAACTACGTTCTGGCCGGAAGTCGTAAGTTAAGAATCGACAGGAAAGGAGCTTTAACTCAAAATTTAAGTGTTAATAAAACTAACATAATCCTTAAAGCC